TGTGTAATGCCGAAACAGCATTTCGTCAAAGAGTTCTGTTATTGGATCCGAACCATTGACCTCACCGTTCTTTCAGCCAACATCGAATTTGAAAAGTCCTGTTCGAAGAAGGCCTGAGGTCGCTTAGAAGTATGTCATTTGTCGGAGGCAGTAGGACATGCCTAAAATTGTGACATCGCCTGCCATCAAGTGGACGTCATTAGATTAAGCATAGCCATCATGCGATTTAGCTCGATTGACGATGATGATGACGCATACATGGTCAGCAACTCAATTAACGGAACCTCGGTTGTTTGTTATGACGGTCGTAGATAACACGAGCTCAAAACTTGTCTGTTCGAAAAATTATAAATTACTTCTATACAAAAAGTGATCGTTTAGATATCTGTCAATCAGTCAGTGAAATCTGCTGGAGTTCGTGGAGTGGACCCTAAGGCACACGATAAGTTGCCGAAACGCAGGATATAGCAGTCAGCTACATTGACCAGTGTCTGGTCCAAAATGACCGTTCTTTTTTCTTGGGATCGATCAGACGTCGTATAGCGAATGGAACCACTGACCTCTGGTGAGCTTCGGTCAAACATCTACAAGGAACGTGTAAACACCTTGTGCTTGGCTGCTTCAACAGTCATCGTTGGAAGCATTGGTACAGCAGATGAGTGATGTCCGTGCTCTGAACTTTCTCGGTTCCATTTGGGGAGGTTTGTTCTGATCCTCTGTCTGTTGAGATCATCGCCTTCAGTCGCTTGCACGGGCACGACATCTCGGGTCGGTAATACCGCTACATTCGCAGTTTTTCATTGCTTGCTTAAAACACCTTTTGCCACGTCGCAGAAGGAACCATTAGTCTTTAAAAGCGCGTCTGCCTCTACCTTGTTCCCCCGTTTCGCACGTTGGCTTCTTGGTCCCCACTTGTGTGTTTCAACTGCCACGCGAGGAACTGGCGGATGATGTAAACTCCTACAAACAGGACCCTGGGCAAAGTATCAAATAAACTCTTACGATAATACAGTGTTATTTTATGCATTATGTTTCTGCTGGGCTTTTGTGTTATACAACGCATCCGGCAGCCATCTCGAACGACATTCGTCGAGCTGGATTGGAATGTTCGATGGCTTATGCTAAGTTTACTGCTTCTATAAGTTTGCCTCAGTTGTTCATTTCTCTGCTCATCCATCGAAAGCCTATTAATTTGCACATGGCGAATCCTTTTGTTCACGAGCACCTACTTTAATCCAATTTTAACATTCCATTTTAGAACGACCATATAGCCTGGTACGTCGTTAGTCCTGTTTGAGTTTACGATCTGATCTAAAGAGTTGATGAAGGCGAGCTCTGTCTGTCGTGCTGGGTTAAAACATAGTGGAGTTTTTTGAACGTTGAGAGTGTTGGTGTCCTTCAAGCCATGAAATCTATTTCCTGTTGTTGACTGAATGGGCTATCTTATTTTATATCGTCATAAAGTTTGCATTATGAGGCGCTGTACGCCCTAGTTGTGATAAAATTTTCCGTCGGTGATCCATTTACAACTCGTTGTGTAAGACGATGCCGGATGGCAGGTCAAATATCTATCTGTAATAAGAATGCTTGCCAAAATTTTTAGCTATCGTTTACAGTTTGACTTGTAGGAGGAATAAACCTCATCGAAGTGAACCTGAAGAAGGAGTAAACCTCTCAGTTTTGGTTATATTTGTTGCAACCCATAAAGTCGAATAGGTATAGCACGAGTTTGCTATCTAAATGTGATATAACACAATCTCTTTGAATCATCTGGAATGAACTGTAAGCTAACGACTGGTTTCTACAGTAATTCAGCATATGCTCTTCTAATAGACTGAACCTAACAGCAACATCTTTGTTACGGGGGTAGACAGACTTTACGAGGCCAATAACGCAATCTTGAAGGACAATGCGAGTTAGGAGAACACGATGTCAGCTTTCAAGTCTTTTGCCAAAGTTCCTGTCCAAATCATAACGAGATTTGTCATTGGGGATAATAATTTTTGGATTTTATGGTTTCCGTAAGAATAACCGCATGGCACCCTCTACTTTGATCGTTACTCGCTTTCCATGCCACGCATGTGAGTTTGAGCTGAGTTTGAGTTTATGGAGGTCAATGCCAGTGGTAATCAGATCATTAGCTAAAGAACTTTCAAGAATGTGCGGAACCGGAAGTCATAACGTTGCAGTCTCATGGAAAAGAATGCGACTATCTGAAAAAGGGACTTCCACAAAAATTCAGAGTTGTTTGGAAGTCGAGGCAATAAGCAGGCCAGCAGTGGGCGGATGGGGTCTCGAAAGCACAGCATTGAGCGTCTTGCATGTCATGGGATTTCATCGGACTGGGAAAAGCGACGTGAAACGCTATGTCTTCACTACCAAGCACTGGATTATTAGAATTGCCGATATCCATCATTGTGGCATGCCGCATTTCATTTGCATAACTTAATTTCTCTAACGGTTAAACGCTTTAATAACCGTTTGGCTTTTGTGGCGAGGGCAATCTGTTGTATATCAGGATTGTTTGGCAGCATTTGGTTGAAGCTGAATTATAGTGACAGTTTCAGATACCTGCTGTGGCTTCTAACCCGGCAAGGGTACCATCAACTCTTTACTGTGATAAAGGACATGAGTTATGTATAGATCCCGGGATGAGGCCGGTCATAAAACAATTAGACTCGTGCATTTACATTGGCCACTTGAGACTTCATTTACATACAGAAGGGCATCATTCAATCGATCTACATGGGGAAAACGGTTATATTGTTCCCATATTCTTGAGTGTTCAAAGTAGAATCTGTAATTAGAAGAAAAACTTAACCCTGCCTACTGGACTGAAATTAACTGAATATAAGTTATACCCTCTTTCTTAGTCTGTGTCAGTGGAACCACGATATATGGACATCACCCTTAATGATGCCGCGTAGTTTTCATAAGTTTTAGGGTAGATCCGTGGAAATCGCGGAAACACTTTTGGGAAGTTGTAGCTCATTTCCTGCTTTAGCATGTTCATCAGCTTCAAGTACAACAGAACCGAACAGCCTAAGGCACGTCTAAACGATGGTCTGACGATCACGATGGAAAAACAGACCGGTGATCGTTCTGAGTAGTGTCACGGCAGATTTACGGTATGCTTTTTTCGCTGATTCCCTCATTAATGTGGTTACCTCCATCACTGGTTTAATGACACCCCGGACCGCTACTTTTCATTTCCGTTGTTAATACTCACTGTCCACGTCGAAGTTCTGCCAGACTTCATTTCACCGTTTTTGTCTTGCAATACCGGCCTAGAGAGAACTTCGGCGTCCGCTACAACGCTTTCCCATGTCTTAACCTGTCG